TTGCTTGGTATTTATAAAGTGAACAAATTTTTTTTTGATTCTTATTGTGAAGGCGGATACTTTAGCTTAGTAGTGTATTTTTGTTTTAATATACAACATGTAACTTAAATAACGCGCATCCTGAAAATAGTTTGTTCCGAACTGAATCGATTTATATAATTTTTAGTATAGGTAATTTTTAAGCCTAAAAATAATTAAAATTACGGCAATTATTGTCATATTAACCCTGTATTGTTAAAACAAATCGAAATGGACCGTAAGTCAAAGAAATAAGACTTTTAAAATCGCAGTTTTATTTGTATTCATACAAATTCTATCATTCAATACAAAATAAAGAAAAATAAACCATATGACAAGACCTGTAAGGATGCATATATATGTTGAATTAAAAATTTAGTGTATGTATTATGATTATAACATAATATTGTAATTGGGGTGTTTGAGGGTGTGCGGTAATTACGTTACATGTTGTATATATTTTTTTACTTCTATACACTTTTTGTTTTACACGTCTGTTATAATAGGCTTAGATACCTATTTAATTGGAATTTAATTTAGCTTTGTAAAACTATAGATTTGAAATGAAAACGAATTAACTATTTTTTTTTTGAGTTTGTTATCGTCGGAAGGTTCTTATGTCAGAAAAAAGTCCTGAAAATCCTACGGAAATGGGAGAAACGGGATTGCGCGTACGAAGTCGCGGGCAGAAGCTAGTTTGATATGAAATGTTAATCAAAATATCGTCTAACGTCTATCTAGCCAATAACACTAACTATTCATATTTAACCATAGTCTCCACCATAGCACGAGGCAATAAACAAATGAGGCAGCTGATAACAAGTAATACCATTGAGCTATATAGCCCAGTGTACTGTGACGTCATCGCGGTGACGTCAGACAGGTGTCGCGACTTCACCACCTTGACCTAGAATCCCACTACTCCAGTTTACGTTCCAGGAAGACACCAGCACTCAATATTGTGATTCATTTAGTTTTCCTATATTGTTTACACATAATTATTTACTTGTAAAGTATTGTATTCTTCTGGAAACCATAAGGTGTCAAGGTTTCTTTAGAGGAAGGGATTACAGACTGTAGCAACTAGCGTTTCCCTACCTTCTAGAAATGATAACTGGATTTCATTAAGGAATATAAATACTCTCTTTAGTCAGTCAAGCACTCAATCACTCAGTTTACTAAGATAGAAGAGTTTTATTATAGGTACACTTAACTATTAATTAGGCATATAAGTATAATTCTTAAGTCGCACTATGTTAAGTTATAAACAAAATTCTCATATTCTACAAAACCACACAATAGTTTTGAAATCGTCGGCGGTGCGTGATGTTATACTATGAGCAATTCGAGAAGAATTTCTGCGGAAAGGAAAAAATACGGATTGACAAAATAAAGCTACATTAGGAGTCACCCGTTATTATTTCGTATTTACCTATAAACCGACTGTTACTTAATTTTAAAGGTATTTATTTGTATTATTGTTTTTAAAATTTTCTTTTTCCTAAGCAATTAAGTAATTCTTATTCTATCTCTATGTTAGAAGGTTAAATATTCAATATGTACTTATATAGAACTTTTCAAAGAATTTCTAGTTACATAAGTACCTGTGGGATATATTAAGAAAACATTACATGGGGCTAAACGAAGGGATTTTGATAGACTTTCGAGTTTCAATTTATTTAACGAAATTAAAGATACGTTTCAAATAAAGTAATGTTTGGTTTTAGTAACAGTTTGTTCGTAGTTTTAACAAACCAATATATAAAGCAAGAGACGGTTGTTCGTTTGTTACACTAAAATGTAATTCAGAGCGTTGACAGAACTAGTTATGAATAAGTTATAACAATTGTGTCGCACTTTATTTTCTTTGCGTAAAAAACCACTTTGAACTTTGGCCTTCTTTAAGAGAAAAAATCGAAACTTCCTTAATTCCACACTACACTTGTAACTTTGGTCCCGGGGGGCGAAGCCCTAAGTGCTTGAACGTCGGCGGCACAACCAAAAAGGTTTTTTTATTTAGTGATAAAAACTTTCCAAGTGTTTGGCGTTTTTCTAATCAGTTGCGGTACCTACTGGTAGTTCGTGGTTTAGTGCAAAAACAGCTTTTTGCTGATTTATAATTTTGTTTCGATAATCATTATCCTGTCACTAATTCTAGGGTGGATGGACAAATATAGAGGTATTTCTCAATTGTGGAATAACACATCAACTTATAGATTACAATCATGATTGATTTTTTAAAGTTTGTTGTGTGATTGTACCTAGGTACAGGTACTTAAATTTACAATTAAATAGTATTACACAATTTTATTGTAATTGCTAATGTTTTTTACCTGTTATCGCGATATGTTTTACCTATTAGGTAACTGTGATCGTTTGACAAACAACTATTATCCTCCATTAGGTAAATTGTACCTACGTTTTAGATAACATATTAATTAAAATATAAATTGATATACATTGTGTTGTATTGATTTTAGATCATCTGATTTCTATTATTTACTATACAATATCTAGCTATCATCAAACTTAAATAAAATATTAAATAAAGCACGCAGGTGATAAACATTCGCGTTTTTTTTAAGGGGGGAATGTCATCGAATGACTGCTCCCGCCTGGGTGAGGCTCTGGGGAGGGAGTGTCAGACTCTTACTGACTAAAAACCACCCCGTTCCTTCTCCTGCACGTAGAGCCGGAGCCCCGGTTACCCGTTAGGTTCTCCGCGACAAACTTTCGCGTAGCATTTATCTAAAACTAAATAGTAATATTTTGTGAAGTAAATAAATAGAAATTAAAGTATCTATGTATCTCATGCTTATAATGTGTTGTCCTTTGTAATATTGTCTGTGTAGCTACATGAAATGATAAATAAATAAACAAAGTTATTTTTATATAAGAGGATCGTCTGTAAGTGCCGTCTATGGTCTGTCATAAAGGAACTATTTTATTTTGACTTGTTTGCTTTGAATATGCTACAAAAGGAAAACCATAAGTAGTACGATTTGAAGTTCTTTTCACTGAGGACGATTTTATTTTTCAGAGAGTAGCATAGGCTACTTTCTAGGCCGATATTGCTACAGGATCAGCACCACCGAAAGATATTTTCTACATTCCAATCGAATTAAGTAGTAGTCGGAAAGCTATGTAAGTAATAAATGTGCAAGTAAGTTTGTTCATTTGTTTCTTGTACGCTTTAAGTATTCCTAGTATCTACTCAAAATATCTATATGAAATTTCCACAAATAAATGTATAGTTGTGAGTAGGTACGTACGGAGCAGAACATAGACACAGGCGGGCAAACCCGCTGGTAAAAGCTAAGAGCTATTTACTTGTTCTAGCTACCTGTGTTAGTGACTTCAACACTTTTCATTAATTGCTATCACTTTCTATGAACCGCGGCTGGAGACCTGTCTGTGCGTTAAATGAAAGCTATGTACAATAGATAAAACGTAAATTCTCATATAATTACCTATGCTGGTGTATGCACGCATATGCACCGCGAGCGGCCATCTTGGGCCGTGCAGACCTTGCGTTTGGAAAGGAAAACATATTTTAATAGGAACAATTAGAAAAACAATAATTCTCTACCTCCCTAGCGACTTGTCTGGTAAGATGTTTTAGATTGAAATTATCCATAAACATTATAGCTAGGCCAAGCATGAAACCATACCTAGGTATCCAGCTAGGCTGGGTACATTGTTCGATCCATATCCAGCTACATATATATTTTAATTTTAACTATTGAATAATTTATCAAAAATTCCTAATATTACCTAGGTACCTATTATTAAGTTATGTAACTATACATTTTTAAAGCTTCAAAGGGTTTTATAATTGTAATAGAAAACAGCTTCACAAAATATTCAAATATTTCCCCATAATATACCTATATCTCAAATTAGCCGTTTACTTAGTTTACACTTTGGTATTCAATAAATTATACTCAATGTTCTATATAATTATTGGCCGTAGTAATATCTTGAAGTTTATAACTAACTTTCCCCCTTTCTTCGTTCGTCTGTAGTATCTACAGTAAGTACGTGGTATATATGTATGTTTGTAGTTTCAGATAGATTATTAGGTGGGGAAAGCGGTTAGATGTGCCGACCACTCGCTTCGCTTTCGCTTCCGGCCGCGCGGGGGCGCCACTGACCTACTGCGTCTTAGATATATCTCGTCGCTTCGTGTTATCGATAAAACTAGAAAAGAATATAAAAGGATTCTGGATACATGTTATAATGATTTATAAATATTGTGAATTGACAAGCAGAACACTGGTTAAGATAAAAAAAATGCTAAATTCTCTTCTTCTTGAAGAAAACGTGGCTATGCTAAATGCATCTAACAAGGACTGTATTATGAGGATAGATTAACGAGTAAGTTGTAAAAATAAAACTGCAGATTCACACAGTCTAGGATCATTTTTGAGCATGCTGGCCTACGCGGGCTTATCAAAATTTAGGTATGCCGAAACAAACCCATGATGTTGTCTAAATAGATAGGCTAATCCTTGGATAGGATACGCACTGCAAATACAAAATTCTAATCTATATGAGGAGTAAGCGCATACCTTGTCCTATAAACTAGAAAACTAGATACAGCTTAATAAAACTTTCTCGTGGCTACCGGCCTAAACGTTTGACGAGGTAAAAGCGGCAAGTCGTGAAAGGAAAATCGTCGACACTTCCTCGAGCGGAAATCGAAAGTGGATTGTGATCGCGAAGAGAAAACTGCATAGGCGGACGAAACTAATGCATCCAATGATGCAACTATGCATCTTCATGGTAGCGACATCTGTTATTCATTTGATAAATTATAATTGTGAGTTGTTAGTGCTGCCATCTAGTATCGACTAGAAATATTACTAAGACTACATGATAAACCCATTTACATACTAGTTTGACTATTGGCCGCTAGATGTCGCTATTCATGTTATTAACGAATCTGTCCTAGCCTTATTCTATTAATTAATAAAACTCACCTTTACCTCCTCCAGCATCATGCACCTGCGGCTTCCCGCTCGGCATCCTCTGCATCGGCGACGCGCTCCCGTAGTTCATACTCGTCGTGTTGTAATCCGAACTGATTGGTTCTTGCTTAATGCCGCTAGGTGACGCTGATAGTTTTTCGGCAAGCAAAGGATTCGCGGAAGCGATATTATATCGGCCATTGTTGATATTGTTTGTCACGGCACTGTTGATGGCACTCGTGCCTGACCTTAACAACTGTTGTAACCGTTGCTGGCCGTTGTTTGGCAGTGCTAATTGACTGTTCTGTTGATAGTAGCCTTGTAGTTGGCTGCTGGACGCTGGCGACGATATATTGTTGTTTTCTTCTTGCTGAAAATCATAAAAAGAACCTATATTAATATATAGAATATAAATCCTTACTATAAATAGAACCAAATAATAGCCTTGGCAGGTTCTATTTCGTACAAATGAAATTAAAAATTATTGTAGTTGTTGCTAGTGGAAAGGCTATTATAGTTCTACCTGACTCTTTACTGACGCTAACTAACTATGAACACAACTAGCAAAACGTTTGTAATGTGAACTATGTAGGTAATCGTTACAGTTAAATAACTTATTTTAGAAATGATTCAGTAGGTCGATACCTGCATACTCTTCTGCATATACGAAATCTCACCTTAATTTCAATAGGCGGTACTGAAGACGCGGTGGCATTCGTTAGATCCGTAAAAAACGTTTCAAAGTTGTCGAAAGCGGTCTCTCCTAGTTGCTTGAGGATGTCATCAGGGTCTGCTGCCTCGCCAGTGTCGGGCTCCAGCGTCAGACCGCCGACGATGTTGGTCAGCTCGGCTTGCGAGAGATCCCCGAGAGATGTCGCCATTTGTTGTAGTTGGGCGGCCGCTTGGCCACCAGCTGCCACTACCGCGTCCTGGAACTAACACACGTTTTTTGTATACGTTTTTATTTATTTATAAAACTTTGTGTACTGAAGCTCAGTTGTTAAATATTAAAAGTATTGTTTTTTCTAATTTTACTATCGTTTATTGATTGGTAGGTTTTTCTTATAATGTAAGTAGGAACTGTTTTGAAGTTAGTTGGACAGATTGGTTGATAAATAAATAAACATAAAATAACTCCAACTTTCTTAAAATTTCAAACAAATTATTCCAGTTTTTTAAACATCAGTGTGGTGTATACTGTTTCAAAGGCGACTGAATGAGTTACTGCAGTTACAATGCGGAGTGCAACTTGGAGTGTATTACCTGCAGGCAATTGGAGAGATCGACCATCCTGCCCTCATTCTCGGCGGACCACCATTCGTCTTCAATAAATGGCATCGCCAGCGCCTGTCCCGATGGCGCATGCGTCCCCGCCACCTTTGTCACTTTTAAACACTAGGTGGCGCTTTCACACCACTCTTACACTCGCGAACACTCGCGAACTATACACAAATATAAATAGTCCAAAAATGTATTTACACTAATAAATTCGTTCAAAATGTTTGGCAGCTTCTTGGACGGAACGTACATTATTCGATGTAGGTATTACGCGAATTCTAGGTACTTAGTTACGGGGGAACACATTTCGGTTTGATTTTGTTGCCGCTGGACGACAGATGGTTCTGCTTGTTCGTCTTGCTTGTCCTCCTCCCGGCCAGGTTACCTCACTCCTCGTAATCCACTTCTCTTCAGCAGCGACCTGTTAAGATTACGAGCGTAGGCTTTCACGTCTTAACACTGTTCGTAATTAAAATTATTGTGGTTTTTGTTGGAGTTAAGTGAGTAATAAAATATGGAGATGTTAGTGCTAGGGTTAGTGTATAAACTTAAAATTTACTTCTAGACATATACTGCATTAAAGGTGTATAATAAATATGTAGCCATATGTAAATTCAATTTATCTGACAGTTAAATAATTAATTTAATATTGAAATGATGAAATTAGTAGTGTTGCTACTCGCCACAAGATAGCGCTAGTCTGCAGGTGTAAGTAAAAAATATGGTTACATTGAGTTTACTGGTAAAGCGGTATTTTTCTTATTTTCAGCTTGCTTTAGTGTAATGTGTTGTAATTGCGACGGTGACAATGCACCGAGATCACCTGGCGACGTCCCGGTGAATGTCAAATCTGCGTCGATACAGCATAGAGGCAGCGCGGCGCTCGCCTACTTGCGCACACGCTCACCCTGCTCTGAAATTGAAATAAACACATGTTAATTATTTGTATTGCTTCCCCAATAAAAATTATAATGAACTAAAAGTTTAATTAAATATATTAACGTTTCGATTAATATTTTCAGACTGAGTTTGACCTACTTATGTAGGTGTTAAAGATTAATAAATCATTCTTGGATCGCTTGCGCATCACGTGTCGCGAATACTACAATAAATCTAATCTTGAGTTGTGACGTATGGGCAAGTCAACGAACTTAGTTACTCGCCTATTTTGGGCGACTTCTAATAAAGTAGGTATTGTTTTTGAGAATACAAATCGCCGGTAATTAAACTGAAGAAAATGGAAAAGTTTATAGTAATTATAATGATGCACTTTAACTTCGTATTAAGTTATGGAAGACTTTTTTGTCAATAATTTTAATGGGTTTTGTATCCATACATAGTCATAAGATTCCACTACATGAAATGAGATATTATTAAATTTTCTGGACATTGTCAAGAAACAATAACATTGCTACTTAACTCCTTTAGGAGTTACGTAAACCATTTTATCTTAAAAATTAACTGACCATAAAATGCTTGCAGCTACTAAAAAAACAAAGAAAAAAGTTATTAACGTAACAAACATAAGACGTTCTCGTAATCATATTATGCTGAGCTCACAATGCACGGAAGAGTGCGCGCGCGCCGCGAAACAAAGAAATGCAGCCAATCAACGCGCGCCGTTTGTAAAAAAGTGAACAATGCTAGCTCAGTCTTTCACTATAATTGTCGTGTGTGAAGCAAAAAGAATTACTTTTCTTTTCTAAATGCTTCCTAGTACCGCTTTCTTCGTGCGTCGATTTTATTTCCAGAATAATTATTTTCTCAACGGTGAACACATTTTAGTATTTGGTAGATGGTATCTTTGTTAAAGCTGCAGATTGTGATCTAGAAATTAATGACTTTTTCTAATCGTTCAAAAATGTTTTAGTCACCTAACCTATCTCTTTTATCAATGTAAAAAGTAATAATAGTACAACTGGTCGATTAATGTCAATAAATTAAAAAGTGATTGTTAGAAATGTATATCAAAAGGAGATTAGAAATAGTGAGAATGTTCATGTCATTTACCTAACGTTGCATTATTCATAGCCTGTCTATTTATACGTAGCTAATTAATAGGCAACAGCGGTCATACGCACTGCCTTGATTTAATCATAGGATTAAATTAGAGACATACTCATCTTACTCATCCTTCAGGTACGAAGGATGGAAACAAATTGGGTTGCTACAAAATTTTCTAACGTATGCATGAGTAGTCGTAGACTAGTAATAAGTCTTTTAAAAGTTTATTAAAAAAAAAACAGTTACAATAAACGCCATAGTATGAAATATTATGATTATACTGCCATCTAGCGGTGAATAGATTAAGCTTCCTACTTTCCGGTGTATATAGGACCAAAAAATAAAATAATTTATTAGTTAACTATTTGATTGTAATGAATAGATAGATAATTTAGAACAGTAAAATACGTAAACAATTTTTTAATATGTAATTTTACTCGTTAAATGTATGGTGGCTCTGTACTAGTAAGTATATCTATATAGGTAAGTATATTTCTTTTTATGGCATTTTGCAATAAATTTTCCTGTATAAATAGCCTATTGAAAGATTTATAGACTTCAGTGAGACGTAGCCTTGAATGATTTACTTCCTATTGCATATTGCTCTGAGGACCTTGCATTGAGTTGGCGTAATTGCGACGAGCTAACATCTTGCTAATACTTATCTTGTTTACACAACTTGTTGTTTGCTATAATGTAGTAAAATATAATTTAATGAAATAAACATTTATTATTCTTAGTAAAATAAGTAAGTATCTTGTGCGATAAATATCACATTTATAGCTTACTGGTACATAACTACGTAAGTTTTTTAATGGTACATAAATAGAAAAGTATAATTTTGTAGGGTATTTACGTAGGTACGTCTTATTTCATAAAAATACTGCGTGCTTATAGAGCCTGTATCTAATTTTAGAATTGAACAAAAATATTATCAATAAGCTTTATTTGCAATTAGACTTTTTGTGCTACAATAATACTCCTACAGTAATTATAACTGAATAGTTGCAGTTTGAGGAAGAACCTTCAGCATTCTACCACGCGATCAATATGACTGTAATGTCAATAAAAAATGTGCAATTATAATAATTTACTTCGAGGTAATTTAATTATTGTTTCCAAAACGATTTCCGCGTCGTAAAAGCATTATTCACTTAGCTGCATCAAATTATTAATCATTGAAATAATAGTAAATCCAGTTTTATTTTCAAAATATGTATTTTTTTGAACAACTTCAGTCTTCATGGTAAGATTATGAAATCTTGTACGTGAAACGAAACGTTGACCATTTGTCTGTAACTTTGACATTGACAGCGACAGCGTGCTGTGTGCGTACCCAAACGTCAATCTCCGAAATCGAGCAGATGTTTATTGTTTTGTTTTCGTTTTGCAAGTAAATATACGATGTCGGAAGATTGTAAATCTGATTCTTCGACTTCAGAGTCAGAAGTTAGTGCCTGTAGTTCCAGTTATAATCCATTGAAGGCTCTCTACTCGGACAAAGTAAAGATACCGGTTGAATCGGCGCCGTTGTATGAAAACATCGCTCAATTTGAAGCCGCACAGAGCAAATCAAATGAAATAATTCCACTTGGACATGCGAAATTGGTTCAGAAAAGAGAAGAAGAGAAGGAAAAGAAAAGAATAGAGGAGGAGAGATTGTTAGAAGAAAAGAATAAACGCCGGTTCGCTCAGTATCAAACAGGTACCTATTTTGAGGTTATGTTTGGAAAGGTTATGTTTTGATATTTTCTTCTAAGGATGTTATCAGTATCTGTAGTGTTACGTTAATTCTTAATAACCCAATGTTCAATAACAGCATAATATTTTAGGTATATACATTATAAATGTGCTGAAAAATGGCCACATTAGCATACAATTTGCTTTTAACAATCTTCTGTTTACAATCAAAAGCTTTTATGTGCCAAACATCAAAAATACATTCGTAAGCTAAAATATGCAGTACATACTCGTCATTGTATTAAAAATGGGATTTTTTTACATAAAATTTAGTAAATGATGAGTGTTTTGAACATGGAATTGAAAATTCTGTAAATATAGACACCTAATAACAATCAAATTCAAACTATTAAAAAAAATATTATTTGTTTGATTATTAAGTAATAAACATATTTATCATAATCCATGTTACTAATATCAGATATAATAGCTACATTTTAGGAGAATTTAAAATTTGTTGTAAGTCTCGGAGGTCATTAAACATGATTAAATTGCATAGCTGACACTACATAGTCTTTAGTAAATTTTTGATATTTAAAAAATTTTGAGGTTATAGTTAACAGATACAGCAAATCTTTTATTTATTTGGAGAATAAAGGAGGATGTAGAGGTGCATATATATTTTCTATTTTTCATTAGTTATGTTTGGAGTCCCATATAATAGGGGACGGGCCCATTGACATATACCTGCCACAATTCTAGTTAAAAAAATCTAATTAAAGGTAAACTAATTATGCAATGGAAAAGTTGCATATTTATGATGACGTTTGTCAAATTAAAATATATAATTCGTACAAATTAAAATATATCACTTTTACCATATAATTAATATGTATGCGTGCAAATGCTTAAGTCATACTTAAGTATTACAAGCATAATTTATCTACATAGATAATATAAATAAGTGTGATAGTACCTACTAAAAGATGTTCAATTTACAATTACCTATTCAAAACATTGTTCCGAAGAAGTGCAAATTAGGTTTTATATGACAGGTACCTGCTATATAGATGAACCTAATAGTTCTTTGACACCTTCCAAAAAAAAAAACAATAAAAATTTGATCATCTCAAAACTTCGACTAATAAATTATCAACTTGCACTTCTCATCTCTATGAGTAGTTTAAGTTCGCATCTTGTCACATGGAGCGTCAGGTCGGGCGGGAGGTCAGTCTAGGCCGCGCGTTCATTGCACGCGGCTCTATGTCAACTGCGGACGTCGAACCCAGCCCCCCTCACCTCACATCTCAGGCTTACCCCCTGGATAAGCTACGCAGCCCACCCAGGCAGTTGTGGGACTTCGCCCATTCGAGGATCAAGGTTCGATCGGGATTAATCTAGATGAGGACGCTTTAAGGCCAATCGTTTTCCTTGAAAAATATTTAGACGTGTATTGAGCTGTGTTGTTACCAATGGCCCTAAGGTCTAGAGTCTACTTAACTATTAAGTGGTATACATATTTCAAGTTACAAGTCGTTATTTTAATCTGCGTATAACTTTGACATCTCACGCATCCTTACTGCGGCCGTAAATAACAAATGACCCCTGCATAACTCCGCATCACTGCTAATCCGTAATGTCGGTCCACGTCTTACATTACAACCTGTAGGCCTATGATGGTTACAAATCAAACTGATTTGAAACCTACAATACCTGTCCAACTAATATTTATGTTTGCATATCCGATCCTAAAAGGAGATTATAATTAGAATAGGTGTTACAGGACAGGTTTTCGGTTAATCGCAATATCTTGACTAAACTTGTACTAGTGCTTCTAACTAATAAAATCCATCATAAAAATCCTTTTATTACCGTGAATGGACGTAACGTATCCAGGTCCGCATAGTCAATGACTTGCTATCAACAATGGCATCAGCTCATTTGCATAGCGCCCATGACCCGCTGCCCCGGCGGCCTTGCTTACATAAACCTTTTTTTATCCACAATTGGTTTTGGCTAGGAACGAGTGGTTTGGATTACGTCACTCGCTTTTCTGCTGCAACTATTGTACCTACTGCGAGTCCCTTCGATCGAATGGCTTCATTTTGATTGTACAAAGATGATGACATTATTTAGGTCGACAATATAAACAGAATAATTTAGGATGAGAGAATTATTAAAAGGTCACGAAATATTTATTCATCGCCAAATTAATTCAGTCTTCGACTTATCATCTCTTCTTCTTAAACGAATGAGGTTCATATCTGTCTGTATCTATCACTCTTGTCCCATTTCCAGCTCAAATTGTGATAAATAAAATACGATTATTACTTTTAACGAAACAATAAAGATAAACTATGTTAACTTTTATGTAAAATAGGCGATATAAGGACCCTTATGTGTTAATTAGGAACTCTTAATTTTTTAATGAACTGCCTATTTATATGGCCTAAACACGCGATCGCGTGATAATATAACCAATTATTTTCCCGCCAAATCGACAAAAATGGAGGTGGAAAGTGACAGGTACAACGCACCATAGATTAAACACAGCTGGCTTGTAAACTCCTTGTTCGCTTCTATTATCGGCTACTTTTGTGCAATCACTAAACCTAATATAAGCGTAATGGTAGATTCTAGAGTATAATTATTGCGGTCGCCATATTGTTTTGCAATACTGAAACACGGTCTGAACAATCGTGCGCATTTACATCTATTGAGTCTATCTAAGAAAGTGCTTGTTCGAAAGCAGACTAACAGGGACTTATGTACTTAATAATTATTTTTGATTTGATATTTACTCGTATCATAACCTATGTTTATGCAATACAATATTCAATTAAAAGAAACTTATTGACATGTTTTCAGCATAACAGAACACATTTCGTCTTCAAAAGTCTTGGTAGAATCAAGCGTAGGTAGTCATTTCTTATACCTAATGCATTATTTTAACGGAGCCTACAAGAACTGATCCTGATGATTTTGATGTCTTAATTCAAGTTCCTAGATCTGTAGAGAGATATCAATATGGCTGCTGTAAAGTAATAGGTTTCCAGCAAAAAAGGGAAACACATTGGCGGGCAATCGCTTCATCACTAGCCCGGCAGATCGTTACGATTGTCGTGAATATCTGAATAAATCGTAATGCGTTCATCTAGATGCATCGTTGCGAACGTAACATCGTTCGCTAGACTTTCGCGTGTGCGATTGTTGCATAACCGCTTTCCACATGAGTGGCATTCGCCGTCTCACTCGGCCTGGAGTCTCGGTCGTTGACATGCCATCCAGAGATTTTGCGCCTAGGGCTGTTGGCACTGGACTCTGCACGAAAATTGAGGACCACATGTATTGGAACGAAATCAAGAAACCGCAGACGAAATGGACTTCATACAATCTCAATGATTCCTCGGTTTATGGAGCAAAAACTTTAGCTATGCTTTTTGAATGATTTGTTTTAGTCTTTACGTCTTACATAATTATTGAAATCTGGAACGTCCTAGATTGCGTATGTCTAAAGCAGTTGCTAAAAATATGGATTTAGCTACTCTCCATGCTTCCTGTAATAGAAGTCTGTATAAAAAATCCCAGATATTTTAACAATGGCATAGTAACTGGAAATGAAATTTGAAACGTTGGTTTTTTATGCGTTTGAGGTCTCATAAGAATGAACCTTTGCAGTTATTTTCAATAGCAATTGCTGAAGTATGTGAAGAAGATGCAGTCGTCAAATCATATTTAGGACAACCCTATACGGCTGATGAAATGCCTCAACCAAAAAAGTTGTGTTGCCAACCGAAATTATTGTTAATTTTATGATTTATGATGCGTGCTAAGAAATACCGATTAATAATTGTGTCATCCAAGATAAGACAGCAAAAACTAAGTAATTCATTTTAAATGTTATGACTACAAAGTCGTTGCTTGTGAGATTTGTATCGTAACTAGTATAAAAAAGGATTTTTATTGATGTTTAGGTATCCTTACATTTAAAATGATAATATTTAAATGAATTACCGAAAAATTGCAAATAAATTAAATCTATAAATTCATCAAATTCTGGTTTACATTTTAAAGCTTGCTAATTTTTTTTATAACTTAATGTAGATAGTTGTTAGGTTGTTACTTATCTCATCCAAAGAAAGTAATTACAAGAATTAGTGTTTACGAATTATAGAGGAGATAACAAATAGTTGCGTGCTCTGTTATCTATCACGCTACCCGCGTGCGTATGCTCTCTTCACTCGGTGCTGGCGTTCTCACTATTATCGTCACCAACATTGCAATACCTAACTGCCCTATTCTTCAAATATTTAGGCGTACCATTTATTTAAGAACCAGTAGGTTTTTATTGGATGTAGGAAGGTACAACAGGTAGGGCTGTCGAAATTCTGTAGACAAAAAGAAAAGACTTAGCACCATATGGGTCGATTATGGTAACAAATAATGGTGTTAAACGTATAAAAGTAAATCGGTACGTCGCCAATAATCGGCGGAACGGAACGTAAACGGAAGTGATGCAACGGCACGCGTTTCGGCGCGCATCTGTGTAAACATGGCGCGCTTTTCTGAATGGCGCGATGGCGGGTGGCGTTTCCCGCGCTCGGCTCGCGGCCGACGACCCCGGCCGCGCGGTCAGCGCCCGGGGATAGTGGAGTGAAAGTAATTCGCGATCGGCGACCGCTCGCGAGCCATGCCGTCCTGGTACCTCCAGCGCCGCCACCGCATAGATTTGTTGATACTTTACGGTTTTTTAATCGGTTCTTGATCAATTGTTATGACTTTTGTTGATAGGCTTTACACATTCGCAGATTTTGTTTGTTATTTTAAGGAATAATTACCATTTTCATTTGCATTAATGATTCGGACATTAAGTCATTCCATTGTAACACAATCTGTAGCCGTCTCGGTTCATCTGCCTACAACTTGGATTACATGACTTCTGAAGTACTCACGTCACTAAAATAAGCATCAGTGATAATTTAAACCACCTATTTAAGTTTGCAAAATTAAGTATAGCTTGCAAGAAACATAACGTGATTAAAAATTCCATTAGATACATCGTTTATGAGCATCTGCTCCTTTGAATTAAAATAGACTACAAACTAAATAGACCAGCTGGTCAAGACAATTTAACATTAATGTTTAATATTTACTAATAGGTTCCTCCCTGAATAGCGGAATCTGATTGATTCTTGTTTAAACTAATTTAGAAGAACATACGTAAAATCTTAATTACATCTTTTATCACAAAATAATATTACGAGGTACGGATCAAAGTCGAGGGTTGATCCTTAAAGGAATAAAGTTAGTGATTCCTAGAAAAGATAATATTGCGGATTATTGTGCTCAATCTGCTAATTGGAATAAGCTTTAAGCCACGTCTAATGAACATCTCCAATTTGTGAATCTAATTTTGAGTAAATTGCCGAGGGTGTAATGGAAATAGTTCGCATACTTCTAGTGGGTCATATGTGCGAAATTCTTTGTAATAACTACGCATTGATTACTATTTCTTTAAAATTCACGGGAGTTCCATCTTACTTAAGCTAAGATTTTTTATTGTTTTATGTAATGTACTAATTACTTGTATTTTTGTAATATCCTATTATGTTCTATAACCGTTTGGAAACTTGCAATTCGTCTAGTTTCAACATGTCGATAGTCATCGTCTCGTTCTAACGTGGTACTAAGTTCTAATGAGAAACCCGTTCCGCAGCCGCTCTTGATTTCATTTAGATACGTTTATATTTAGAAGCGTTTATCAATATATCTTTATAGTTTTATTAACTTGTATAAATACTTGCGAAAAATAACGGTAACTGCTCTGAGATAAGGTTTCAAATAGGCAAATTTGTCTGATAATCTCTACCTTACTGCATATAGCTATTGAAGATATTCTAATGTTTTAATAAATCTGACGAGTTGTGGCCATGCGGTATGAGTTATTTACGTTTTTTCGCTCGTTACGTCTTGATGAACTCAACAATGACACTGGAGCAAGCAGGCATTGACCAAACTTATGGGTGAGTGGTCTGCACGAGTACACGCGTGTGCGCCAGTGCGCCCGCGCATACTCCGTGCACTGGGCTGGAAGGTGACGTAAACTTGCGATATTTTTACAGGTGTCATATTCGTGTCGCTGATAAAACCGGGTGCGTTGACTTCTTTTCGTCATTGTTATCGTAATACACTAATACGCGCTTGTGTCAAATTATTTATAGCTGAGGTTCAGCTGTCTTACTTACGATAATTATTATGTTCTTTGCCTTTTTGTAATTGTCTTGGAAGAAATAATATAGTTACAATGTAACTTGGACATTAAACATAAACCATTTTTTAGTATTTTATTGCGTTTTTTACGAGTAGAGAAACCCGAGTTGCTAAGTATTATTTCTTAGGTAGCAGTAGGTAAGTAGGTACGCAGATGACACAAGTTTACCTTCACGGGACATTATTTGATATCTTCCTCGAGTTGCGTCATGACTCATACATAACGTAGCGTTAGGTACAAAAATACAAACAAAAGGTCCATTAGAATAACTCGTGTCAAAACTATTTTGAGTGTTCAACATAACTAAACGTAAATGAGCTCATACCTTTATCATAAAGAGGTAGGCAGACACGTCTCCTACGACCCTTGCATACTTCCTTAACTTTCGTCATATTTTTTCGCACATCAAGCTATGAGTATTGTGCATCTGGCCAAAAGGAATAAGTGCCCCGTCGCGTATGTCGCGAACTGCATTATGTTTAAAACTTGTATTTGTCGCAATGTTAGTCATTAACCGATTACTTGTGCTTTCAGTCATGGTGCCAACAAAAGAGTATAGAGCGAAGAACCTCCTCACTCGCATAGAGGTTATGGAAGGACCCCTTGGGGTTTTAAAGGAATGCGTCGACAAGAGGCTTAGAGTTAAGGTAAGATTTTGTAGACTTTGGTACTAAAAAGTTAGTAGATGGTTTAATTCATTGTGGTATTTGCGTAGGGTTCTTTGGAATCGTGTCCAGATTGTGACAGCATTGTTCCTGGAACTCATGGCGTGACAAATAGGGAATGTTTACTATGTGTTTCAAAAGTAATATTCTATCAATCATCAGGTTTTGATGTTGTTTTGAGATATTTGCGTCACCACACGATCGATCACACGTCATCACGAAATAAGAGACGCAGAAGGGTGTTAGAATAGCCGATAACAATAAAACGATAGGAAATCGTTTCTATTTCCCCCCACATCGAATCTGCATATAAAATGGCAATTCTAAACTAGAACACATTACTCTAAAACCGTAATACTTTACAGCCAATGTGTGTTTAGATCGTGTGTCATAATTCTAGGTCCTTAATGCATCCTTTGTACATAACTGGCTAGTTTCCAACGCGGAAGCTGTGTGCGCTTTGATGACTGATGGCTTGCCCAAAACCAAAATAGTACAAAGCCCTTTCTACGAGTAGCAGTGGAAATTGTAAAGCACGTAACGGACAGTGATGGAGCTCTTTCAGGTTTAATAGCCGAGCTACCTTGGATACTGGTGTGAGGACGTTAAAAGTGAAATGAGCTATTTTTGGGGCTAATGTTGTAGATAAAAGATGTCTCTGGAATTCTTTTAAAAGTGAATGGGAGCTTTTCGCTGTTCTCTGTTGCATATGATTGGGGATGTGTCTATCGTAAAATGATGAAGTTGAAAATTGTTTAAGAATAACAAGTTTACTCTTCTTCAACGTTTTTTCTGACTAAACAATAAACAACGATGCCATATTTGCGTATTATTGCGCACTGTAAACATTATTTTAAAATGTCTGCTCCAGTTTTTCAAGTAAACAAAGCGAAGCTGCAAGCTATGTCAATACTAGTGTCGTGCAAAATTATATGCGCTAGATATTCGTTATCAACTTGTTTAGAAAGACGTTGAATACCCTGTGTTTTATGAATTGGTGACGAATAAGCATTTTTTGTCCGTCAGTAAAGTTTCAGAATGAACGAGAAAAAACTTCATTCAACAAAAGAAATTAGATGAAACAAAAATTCAAATCGGACTGCTCTTCCTAGAGACAGTGGACATTATCTACTGCCATAAAACTTTTCAGCATTATGTATGTGCAGGATTCGATCCTGCGCGGGTGCGGATTGTTCATTCGATTCAATGGAGTTATTATATGTGATTGAAACATTTTGTCTTCATTATATTCTGTCGATGCAAGCAATTGACATATGATCCGGAATTGATTGGCCGCCAATATTTGGGCGACTGACCTCCAAATTAACTCTGATATAACAACCTTCGACTGCTTTAATTTTCAAAACAGATCACACAAATTTTCTAGAATTTTCTCAGTATTTGCAGACTTTTGGCTTTTACAACTCATGAACATGAACAGTGGGTGTTTTTGGTTTTTTTTAAGGGGGGAAAATCATCGAATGACTGCTCCCGCCTGTGTGAGGCTGGAGGGAGTGTCAGGCTCTTACTGACTAAAAATCATCCCGTTCCTTCTCCTGCACGTCGAGCCGGAGCCCCGGTTACCCGTTAGGTTCTCCGAGACACCTATCGTGCCTTCTTCTTCATAGATAGTTATATCATGGCATTTCGCTACATTATGGCCGGTCTTAGATCGTGCGATTGAGAGATCTCACACTAGATGCAACCCAAACCTGTGAAAGTTACGTACTTATTTCCTAAATGAAAACTAAACCTACAACTAGTACTTTCGCTGTACATGCAGAACTCTAATGTCCTATCCTGATGAAAATAATAATGGGTAATCTAGTAATTACTACTAACTACAACTTACTAGTAATTTAGTAAAATAATGATTGCGTTTGCAACAGTTTGAGCCACGTGTAAGTTGTACGTAATTTCAACACTGCAAGGGCACAACACGGAGCGCTACGTTCCTCGCATGTTACATCGTTACCTTCGTAATTAATTTGCATTCGATTTAATTAGAACAATACAGCTTTGAAGTCATGTAAATGTAACTAATGAAGGCAATAACCAATAATCGCAATTTCAATGAAATGCCATTACGGGGTCCCCCATTATTGGAGTTGCTACTAAGCTATGCCTTGAGCATTACTTTATTGCACCTAACTTCTGAAATAAGGCAACTAATGAGTCTTGGACTCTTTAAAAGTATAGCCAAGGAAATGCTCGACTACAATGGTTGGTGCTGATATCTCATTATACCTAAAGGAGTCCGGAGAACGGATGTCTCCCGGATAAGAAGCTATGATGAATCTCAGTGAAATTGATAATAATAATAGTAGTAACGAATATGGTATCAGTAGGGCAAGCAGTCAGTTCTAGAAGTGTAGTAGCTGAGTCATAATCGTCTAGGAAGAGCCTTGCAGGCCGTCCGTCCGGCCGGCGTCTGCGCAGCGCGATTTGCAAGTTTCTATTATTGGTGCGCCCGCGCCGTGCGGTGCAATGTGTGGCGTCTGGTGTACCGAGTGCAAATAAATCGGGAGCTCGTGTCTTGTTAATTTTATTTGCAATTAGATTTTAATTCAATTGGGTTTTATGATTCCGTTTTAAATGTATTATGATTTATTTTTAGAAGTTTGTTTTATGAATAATGTAGATTCTCATTCGTATTATTTCAAATGAATTTATTACTTTTATATTTTAATTCGTATAAATTGAAATGAAACTTAAAGCGCACTAAAACCAGATTTAAATAAATGTGCTCCGTTCACTTTGTTTGAGTTTGTTATATTTTGATTTTAAACCGAACTATTTTCGTGTAAGCAAGTTAATTATAGCGATTACATAGCCCGTAGCCCTTGAAGGCCTTCAGTAAACATATACAATATACTGGTAGTAGCGTACTCCGTTTCCTTATACAAAATACATACGAACAAATCGTAATCATCGCTGGGAGCCCTTGTCACCTTGAATACTAATTATACGATTATTTTAAATATTCTCTTTGTTGTAATTCCATTTTAACTGAAAAAATACACATCTGTTTAATTTTCCTTCTAAGATTAAACGTGACTAACAAATCAAATGCCATAATAGAAAGGTCGAAGGTATCGAATGCATTTGAGTTCGTAATTGTTAAAGGTTTTTCGGTCACCTCAAATGGAGCTAGTTGTTCAGTGTCAACGAGATGTATATTTGGTTCAAGTGTATGCAGGAATTAAGAAGTACATTCGTATGGTTGCGTGGGCCCTATGTTAAAAATATTCATCGCAGCTCGGGGTCCGAAGGCCGGCAGTCGCCGACACAAACACTGTCATTACTATATGTTACGCAGCATGCGTGATGCACGTGGCTGTACCGACACCATAACAAGCACCTGTTTACAACATTAAACTTTATTGACTGTCTTCTAAATTCATTTCCTAGATTCAAATTGAGAAATAAAAATGTTTTAATACAAGAAACTGACATTGAAGTTGGAGTTGCAAAAATAACGTTTCCATCTCGTTTATTTAGTTACCGCAATTTGTTTAAATTAAAATGTTTTAGGTTATTTTTCTAAGCATTTATGCAGATACAATCTAGACCCGACGCAGTTTTGCGTCTATAAATCGTGGACCGTACACTTATTATTTCAATAACGAACATCATAAAATGTTAATATGATCGTAAAACGTATATTTTGCCTTATCTTGCGGTTGTAAGATGCATAATTTTCGTGTTTTCATGTAAAGTTCAGGGTTGATTAGTTTGGACGACGACGCTGACGTCATGCTGCGGAACCTCCATCTTTAACATTTTAATTGAACGAAAAATGTTTTTTCTGTTGACCGTACCGACCGGCGGGACCTTGCTGTGATGTCAGTTATCTCATGGCCATTTTGTGAACGTGTGCGTGGCGTGCGCGTGTGTGCAGGCGTATCGGTACGGTTGTGCGGTGGTGTGCGTCTCGTTAACAAGGGCTTGCTAGGACGAATCGGCCACGATACTTCCTAGTACGTTTAAGACATTTGTCTGTCATTATTCGATTTCGGTGCTGCTGGCCTGCTCGCCTTGAAGCCAACATTTCAATGCGTAATTAATTGCTTCGTTAGAGGTGTTGCCGAGAAACCTCGGTGTATGCGCCTATATTTGGAGTACTTTTTTGTTGCAGCTTTTATAACAAATTTTATTGACTCGAGTTAATTTTATAAGAAAACCGACTTTGCTATAATAAGTTCAAGAGATTAATTTTATTTAGCTTTCTCAGGTAATGGAAATTACCAAAAAATTGGAGATTAAATTAAAACGAAAATGATTTTTCATTTACGTGTTCAATTAGCTAATCAGGGACAACGTTCATGGTCTTAATGAACAGGAAATAATATTGATGTTTTTCCTGAAACCAAGTGATTGCCTGATGTAATCTCATTCAATTAAACATTTATTATACAAGGTTGTGGAACGCTTTATGATTAAAAGGGACAAGGGATAGGTGTACTGACCATAAATAGTAATAGTTTTTTTTCATTGGAAGCATAAACAAGTTTACAATTCACGTCAATATTTAGACCTTAACTAATAAAATTTTACTTATTGCAAACTCAACATCAATGGTCACCTAAAGTCGCGGAGAACCTAACGGGTAACCGGGGCTTCGGCGCGACGTGCAGGAGAAGGAACGGGGTGGTTTTTAGTCAGTAAGAATCTGACCCTCCCTCCCGCCTCACCCAGGCGGGAGCAGTCATTCTATGATTTTCCCCACTTAAAAAAAAGAAAACAAAAAAATGGTCACCTAAAACAGTAATATTTTACACAATGGTGAACCTGCATCGCAATATAATTATAGTAGTTTCATATAGGGTGTTACCGTCGGTGAGTACAATTAAAACTCATAGTATAAAAGTAAATACTTAAGTATAAGTTTACTTAACTATAAAAACTTATAGTTAAGTAAACATTTGGAAGAACAAAGAAAAGAAACTTTTCAGTCTCAGTTTATATTTCAGGAAAAATGTTATGCATTGTAGTAATCAAATTAATATATTATAATAATACGTTTCTCGATATTTATTTGGATCAATTTGAATCTAAAATAATCTAAAAGATACTAGCCGAATTATATAATACCTCCTCCTTTTTGAAAAGTCGGTTGATAAAATAATATAGGCTGGTGTAATGACAGTCTTATGTTAAGATATTACACTGCCTATCCTATTATATTGAAAAGAGTGAAGGATAACGACTTAGGTAATGTTTTCATAAGCGAGCTTTGTGAGCGAAGCGGAAGATATTATTGTAGGCACAAGTATGCAAATGGTAATAAAATTGTAGATAAATAGGTATCAGTGAGTTATCCTGCTAAGGCTAAGTAAAATTATAGAGGAAGTTCGTTTATTCACTTATTATCTAGGATGTTAGGGTATGTTATTATTAGCGAATTTTTTTTTTTCAAATTGCGGATGTATCACTACATAGTATAAAACAAAGTCGCTATCCGCCGTCTGTCTGTCCCTATGTATGCAAGATCTTTAAAACTAAGCAACGAATTTTGATGCGGTTTTTTAATAGATAGAGTGATTCTTAAGGAAGGTTTATATGCATATTGCACCCGTGTGAAGCCGGGGCGGGTTGCTAGTCTTTATATAATTTTATTCATACACTTCTCTTAAACGGAGTGGTTTTTAAAATGACGATTATTTTAAGTTTGCAGCATCCCATGTAGATATTCCATTATTTTTAAAAAGAAAATCAACTCCACTGTTGTAAATATAAGTACCGATGTCATATACAAATAGTTGAACAAATATAACGCGTCATTAAAAACAATACATACATACATAGGCGGAGTATTTAGTAAATAAATATATACAGAGTGGTTCTGGCGTCGGCTCGAGTCGTGAGGTGTTCACCCCGAAATGTGGGCAATGACAAGGTCGTCAACATTCAAACTGAGGTTAAAAAAACCTCCGCTCTGCAGCCAGTAGGTGCTAGTATTAAGTTTAACCGACTATATTACACTCTGTAGTTCATTCATTTTGTTTTTAAAACATCTTAGTTGTAAGCATTCTTTTGTCACATGAAATTTGAAAAATAACTGGAGAAACCTGTATTTTTCAAATTTATATGTATCCTTGCCTACCTCTTTGGGGGTTAAATGGTGTGATGTTACGATATAATCACTCTATATATTATTCTAAAAGTATATATGTATGAAAAGCTGCTGAAGAGATTTAGATTTTTGAAAGTTGAAAGGTTAAAATAGAAAATTAATCTGGAATAACGAATGTGTTGTTTTTATCTCAATAGCCCAGGCAACGTCTCTTGTTGGTGCTAGTATTATAAAACATTTAATAGTAAAATATTTATTTATTTCAATAGCTAAACAAATAAACAGGAAATGCCAAGCTGAAGTAAGCTTTGTAATCTCGCAAGAAAGTTGAGATTTGTATGCCTTTCAAGTTCTAAGTTACGGAATAAATGCATAATGTAATCGTAAACAATATTTAATGTTTTCTTTTATATTCAACGCGATGTTTTCTTTTCTGTAATTTTCCTACACTTGGGAGCAAAGAGACGGAGCCACTAGCATGTTTTCTTTCTTATTTCTGGATAAATGTTTTCTAATAAAAATGTTTTATTAATGGGGTAGACGACTAATTTTTATTTTAATGTCCGTCTGGTAGATTATTTAAAAACATTAGACACGTATTTTTTATTTTCTTACGGAAACGAATAGTTTCGATGATATATTGATTTGAAATGTCGCGTGACGTCACTTCTCAGTACATTTTATACTAAGAAATGACGTTTTAGCCCCCACTCCTAAACTTTGATTCGTTTTATCTAAGTATTGTTTTATTATACAACAAAATAAAAAAATTTTTTTTTAATATTTTTTTATTACCTAAGTTACGGACTAATTATATTTTTTTTTTTCATACCCTGTCATCATCCCCATTGTAACGTATGCCATGTAGAAGGCAATTTAGTTACCTTTAAAATGAGAGTATTTTTTGTAAAAGAAATATTTTTTTAATTTCTAGACGGTCCGATTAAACACGCTTCTTCTTTTACAAGTGTATATTATGTACCAGACGTACTTAGTATATGTGGTTTACTCTTATTGGTTTGGCGGGTACTTGATGACCTTACCAGTTTTTTAGCCGCACTAAAAACTTAAATCTTAGTCCATGAAGGTCTGAAGAAAAAACCTACCAACTCAGTCTGACAAATAAGGTTTCGTACTTCGAGCTTAATTTTAATCGCAGTAGGTCTACTACTTTTGATCGTATCGTGTCTATATTGTTGTGTCGTCTGATGTTTGGTGATAAAGTTATTAAGATTGTACTCACATCTAACCAACAGCTCCCACTCGATCATACAGTTGATGTGGTCACTTGTATCGCGCCATATCTGAAAAAAAAAACAAGAACATTGTGAAAAACCTCACAATAAATAAAATGTAAATCTAAACAATGAACGTTAATTCATATAAAACAGAGCGGCCCGTCTGTTCGCTACTTAGTACCTCGATTCGTTATCACTCAATTTATCTACAAGGTTTCTCTTCAAAAAGAATCGTATACCCTAACGATAAATTTATGGTTTCAATAATCATTTAGTTTTCAAGTACGCGCCAAGCAAAGGTATGATGCATTCGGCCTCGCGGGTAAACAGACGCTAGATAGCGCTAGACAAAGACGGTGCGAGGTCATGAGCGTAGCCTTGCGCGGGTGCGCGCGCGCACGCTTCCGCCTGTCGACGGCCGAGGCGCACTCGAAGCGCAGTCGCCGCTCGACCGTCGACGGTGACACACGTGTAATTTGCTCCACACACGTCTATGACTGCCTAATTAAAAAGCAATTAACGACTAATTTATGGACTATTACAGATGCTATTTTTAATAAAACGTAATTTCCTATGCATTTGATCATTTTTAAGTCAACGATAAAGCCCCTTCTGAAATGATCTCCAATTACATAATTACAGAACTTACAATTTATCAGAAATAAAAATTATTAAAATAAAATTCCTTGAAAGAAAAGCTATTATGACGGAGGAACAAGCTTACAAATGGCTCATACATAATCATAGTGCGTTTCATCTTCCCACACACATGCGTTGCGGTTGCAGCGCCCAGCGCCGGCATGCACATCGCACGGAGAGACAAAGACCGATGGAGCTTACCGTTAATAAATGTTAAGTGAGCCTGTATATTTACTGTAGGTCCACTAGGAAAAATGATTCATAAAGCTATTGTCTCTCTTAATCCATTACTTTCGCTAATCTTCGCAGATTGATGCAAATTCGTGCTGGAAATTGAATTCGCAAAGGTCCTATCGCAGTAATTTTAAATGACCTGAGATGCAGTCTCGACCTTTGATTGCCTTGTGGCTTTCCCGATGATTGCAGCTGAATGTCTCAGATAAAATTTATTGTAAATTACTTGAGATAAATGTAGTTATGAGTAGATTAACTCCACATGAACTGCGACGTCGTTTACTATTTTCCTTGTTATAATGAAGATTTTTCAATTAAGGATTTTTAATTCTATTGCCTTAAGATTAAGTTTGTATTCCTTTATTCTGGTGTTTTACATAAGTGTTCTCAGGACGGTGTTATGCATTCGCTACCTGAAACGTATTGGAATTCTAGTGTCAGTGGACGATGTTATACAACATCGTTAAATTATGGACTATTTGTAACTTTTTTGTTAGGTCTCAAAAGGTATAACCCGAGAGTGGAATGTCTGCACTTACATATTGCAGTTAGGCTTACGTAACTTTTACTTGATTATTATATGCAGTTTCATAGCTTGAATCTCCTTGCTTAGAATTTGTGTGTAGTACATGTTGTTGCTAGTGCCTCATTATGCTCTACGGGTATTTTAATGGTTCTCGTCAGGGTAAAGTTCTAAGCTATTTTGCGAAATTTCAAGGAGTGTGTTCGTACGTTATTTGCTGAATCATTATGTGATCGGCGCATTTGCATCCTCTCAGCGCATGCTATCTGATGTGAAAGTTTACCACACAATGTATGACTGAGATTTAAGAGCTGACTAATGTCAGAAAATGAGAAAATTGCGCTCGTCTTACGAGATTGTGCAACGTTTTACGAGTGTTATTTTGTTTTGATCTTAGCTTTAGCTGGTGCATTGTTAGAATAGAATTTAAACGATAATTATTTATGAAAAAAAATTAACAGGAAATAATACATAACATCACGCCTTTTATCCCCGAAGTGGTAAGCAGACGTACAGATTACGGCACTTAACGCCCCTGTACAATGTTATACCCGCTTTTCACTATTTATATTATGAGTCCCATGTAATAGGGGGTAAGCCTATTGCCATATACCGGGCATAATTCCTGATTCCATGGTACTACTGAGATTTTTTTAAAAAGCCCAGTAATGTAATACTTTGCCCAACTCAGGTATTGAATCCGAGACCCCTTGCCCGTCGCCCTTGCGACCTCTCGGCCAACGAGGCAGTCACTAAATTATATAAGCCGATAAATGTAAAGTAGTGGTCAGATGACAATAATATCCCCAATCAATCATCTGTTTGGCGGCCAGTCAGTCAGAGACAGTGGAACAAAAGTATTGTTACGCAAAACGCGTCACAATTACGTTGCAGCGCGACCTCGCGGCAACTGTCACGGCCGGCGCCCGCGCACGCTTCCTGCTCTATGCACTTCTACGATAATATTGTTTTGATTACGATAAAACGTATTGGCAAGCTGTGTGTGTGAGATTCGATATAATTATGTTATTGCTTCTCTGTTGCATAATTGATTGTGAAGTGCACTTGGATTAGTTTCAAACTTAACGATATAACTTGGCTACATGAATGTGTTTAACATTGTTAGCTAACTAAAATGTAGGAAATTTCCATCTTTCGCACTAGTTTATTGCATAAAACGAAACAATGATACTTAAATTTAGAAATGAATCTTTAAAATGCAGAAACAAAGGCCAATGTTAACATTAGCATACTTTAAGCACTTCCGAAGTACATTTGGCTGAATGTAATTATTATGTACGGACCAACACTTGGTTAATCGTTCTTGGAATGTATGAATAGTTGTTGAATAATACTATTTTGGTACTAGACAATGAGGCACGGTTTTTATTGAGTAGTCTTAAATTTTGTGGCTTATGTTTGTCCGTTTCAGTCAAATAATATTTGTGTCTAACGATTGGACCTTAGTATTACATCTTTGGGCTAAAAGGACACAAACAATGATAATCCTATGAGTACAATAATTATGATTATAATGTTCAAAAATGGCCGCCATAACGAATGCGTTAATTAAAAATGCGGAAATTTAACACCTATAATATTTTTTACGGTTAATCAAAATAATGTAACTGCTCGATTAATAATATTAAGGTCACACACTTCACTCATACACAAAATAATTAATATTTTGACAAGGACAATGCCCCACTCTGTAACCTTTGGAAAAATGTATACGGAACTGTAGCAAACAATCATATTTAGGTAATTAATTTGTATCATGCAATTTTTGGCAGCTTGAAACTGCTTTTTGAACACAATTACATGCTCTCCGCATATTTATTTATTACGTCTCTAAAAACCTGAGTGATGTGCATTTTCTGTTGATTCTCGAGCAATGGAGTTAAGCTGATAGTTACGATTCTGCCTTCTCATGGGAAAATCTCCCAACACTTTTGGCAGCTGATAGTAAGCCTCACACAGCAAAAAGTCCAAAGATCAAGCAAGAACTGAGCAATTCCATTAATCACTTTTGTAATTAACGTCCATTTTGTTCCCTTGTGCACGCTTCCTATATCGAAATGGTTTCGTGAGTGAGAATTATAAGGCACTCGCCATCGTGCCTACTGCAAGGACATACGGATGTTGGTAATTTGCGGTGAAAAACTCAATTTTGGACAATAATTGAGAATTTAGTATGGTGGTGGTTTTTGAAAATTGTGGCTTTGTAACGGTTTTTGGACGGACGGTAAATGTTGAAGCTTTGTTTGGTGTGATTGTGTCTGTCTTGCTTTACAATTTCCAAAATGATGGCTTCATTGATGATGGGTTCCTGTCATTTACAAATGTACAGTTTCTTAAGTTGCCATCTGGTTATGTTAACTCTCTACGTAATATTACAATGGACAGTTAGTCCTTGCTAATTGTCTAAAAATAATAACATGTTTTGGCGGTAACACCTAAAATAGACAATGTTAATGAAGCGAAAAAGTATGTTTGTATACAAATAACGTAAGGTTACATCAAACCAGTTTGGCTAATACTAATGTGTTAATCAAATAACTTGGAAGTGGGCAGAGCTGCGCACGCATCGCAAAATATTTTGACTAAATACATTTTTGTGCGCATGATTCGTAGTTTTTTCATGACGTTCTGACCTTCGTTTTATTGGGTTGGTTGGTCATCTGATGCCTTATTCAAGTTTTTCAAGATTATATATCTGTGCTGTCAGTCACCACACATTTATTTCTACGCCTAGAGGTAGATTTCATAATTAGACCTCGATAATTATAAAATACAAGTCATAGTGCAGGGTAAAGAAACATAAATTATGTATGTGACTTCGAGGCAGCGACGTTTTGCCTATTGTTTCATATAATTCGGATTTAATTGTATTGAACAATTTTTTTTGGGTTAAGGTGCTGTGGCTTTAATTTAGTCACCATGTACTCCAATTTTCCACTTAACTATGCAAATAAGATGAGATCTCGGAAAAATTCCATAGGCTATTCTTATCCAATAAAAAACAAATACGCCTCGACCTTTACCCAGTGTAGGGCCGGGACCTTGAGACGTTGTTATCATTGTATTTGTACGTTTTTTAACATTCGATAAAGGGCTGGCCTTGTCGGGTGTCGAGGAAGGCCATTTGTTCGATTCCGGTTATTTTTTCGTTTGGATCTTTATGCACGGCTGAATTTCCGGCTTAGTTTTCCTTCCTCACTCATCTACAATGCAGTTCTCGAAGGTCTGAGGTTGATGTTTTTGGTGCTATAGTATTGTTCAGCTATAGAAGCTACTTTACGAGTACTGTTAGAATCTTCTCCATCCACAAATTAACTAATTTACAATCTGTTCTATATTACTAGTTTATCGTTTTAATAATTTGTAAGGTCGCTTATCACGGTCATGATCTTGAATTAAAAGTCACGGCTGTAAATCGCTTTTAATAGGGACCTATAAAAATATTTGTATAATGAAGATATCTGAATCAAAGCAGATTTCTAAGAATTTTATTTGAATTCTTGAGAAAGTCAGCAAAGAGATCCAGTACTGGCATAATACGCATCATTGAGAGCCGATAAAAAAGTCAGCGTTTCGGTGAACATTGCAGTCAGCCGTCCATTGCCATCAAAGTAAAATTTAAATGATCTTGATTGAAGTTTTTGCTTCT